ACAGGGTTAGCCTCGAATCAGTGTTTAAATATTCACAAATACCAACAGAAAAGTAAAGAATGCACAACTTCAACAATACAAACATTTTGAAACTTGACGGACCTTAACTGGAACACGTGAATATTCTGCACAAACTGGAAGCTAACCCAGTGCAAATGAGTCTGTAATCAAGAAACACAGCGGTAAATTTGGAATTCGAAAGGGGTCTATTAAAATGTAGAATGAATCATTTCATTCCAACTTTGGGTAGTGGAGCCAATCTGAAACCTAGACTGCACGAGAATTGTAATTTGACTCTGATATTACGTGTAAACAACTAGATAGCCATCATCATTTTCTTGTGTGAATAAAAAGATATGCTGAAAGGCTATTGTTTTCTGCTGCTTTCTGATTGGCTCCACTACCCAATGTTTGAATGTATTGTTTTTATTCACTAATTTGATTGGTTCTCGCTGTCTAAGTGAGTATAGTCGTGGTTATAGTAGTCACACTAATGGCATCCAAGAATAGCTAACTCATAAACGAGGTTAAACATGTATAAATGAGTCTGTGGGCTTCAAAAGAAGTGGCCTCAACCCACTTACTAATTACAGGACTTACTAATTACAGGACAATTGCCCTATTGCACTATGACGTCACTGCTTGTTTATGTGGGGGATAGAATTGCCAAATCCAATAGAAAATTCAACAAAATTTGCACCTAGCGMAACAGTTTAATCTAAAATGGCCTGCTTTTCAGATATAATATGTGTTAATATGTACTAATAAATATTCTGAGCGTTTGCTGGCTACTCTACTTCTCTTCGTGAATTGATACGGGTTTTAGAACAATTTGCGTTGATTGGACCCCCTCCGATGATAATGATCCTTTGCGTTTAAACAATAGATTGTTATGATGTGACGTCATAGTGAAATAGGGCAATTGTGAACCTACCTTAGGTAGAAAATTTTGCCAAACTTAATTCTAATTCTTTTTATTGCAAATGCTTATAGCAATTTCAATCAATTTTTCCATACAATTGAAAGAATGAAAGTTTAGTGCATGTAAATAAATAAAGCATGAATCAACATTAGTATAAGTGTTAGACTACAGTAAAATATAACTACACCAACCTAGGCCATCCAGACACATTTCCATAAAAATTAGCCAATGTGTTGTTCCCGAAATTTTCCATAACCCCAACGGAGGAATGTTTTTCAAGACCCCCCTACCCTTGGAAATTCCAATTTTCTTCCATACAAACTCTGTAATTTTGTTCTTTCTCTTACCCCCCCACCCCTTGGAAATTTGAAATTCCTTGGGGGGGGGGGGGGTTATGGATAATTTCTGGAACTATAAAAATATTGGTTGAGTACAAATTTTCACATTTTCCCTTTAAAAGCATATTATATTTTACTTTATACATGTGTGTGTGTGATCAGAAGTGAACAAGGAATGGTTTAAAACCAAGAATTGGTCACCTATCCTGTTATTCAGTGCCAAAAACATGGTTTGTAAATTTGATTTAAAATTTATTTGGGTGGCCTTGGTTAATGTAGTTGCACTTAATCCAGACATTTTCTGGCTCATTTTACTGGCATTTTCATAAACATGCGAACTCAGTAACTGCAAGCTGCCGGCCGTCAGTCAAAAATATAAAAGGTACCAACTGATTAATTTTGATTGATGGCAGCGAAAAATTAAATTACAGCTTGCAGCTACCAAGTTTGCATGTTTATGATAATGACAGTGACTACTGTCTTAGAGCATCCCATTCAGAACTAAACATAATGACTGCTCAATGGCCAGCAGTGATGCATGCTTGTTCACATTATTGTAGACTGCAAGCACCTGAAGTCCCTCTATTTTCCTTAGACACTGTCTGTCTGTCCGTGTTGATTGGTCGAGGAAGATTGACTAAAGAGCCCCCTCCCCAAGGGACTTTTGACTCGTAACCAATCTTACTCTACCAATCACAGACAGACAGATGGACAGTGACCAAGGGAAATAGGGGGACTTAGCTCGCAGTCTAACATTGATGACTAACAATGTGACCTAAAATCTGGCCAGAATCCATTGACTGTTATTTTTAGGCCAGCAATTCGAATTTCATGTGCCATATTTCATTTGAAATCAATAAACTTTAGCAGACGTTCCTTCAAATTTTTATTGGTACACTGACTAGCCGACAGTTATTTTAACCTCTGTATTTGGTGGCATTTTACTGTTACTTCCCATCATGCATTGCAGTTTAGTTATTTTCAATGGTATACAATAGTTTTACAATGCTTTCTCATGACACACCATGGAATATCACACTTGTCACTTGTATATGAATAATAGTTATACAATGCTTTCTCGCGACACACCATGGAATATCCCACTTGTCACTTGTATATGATAGTGATACAATGCTTTCTCATGACACACTATGGAATATCCCAGTTGTCACTTGTATATAATAGTTATACAATGCTTCCTCGTGGCACACCATGGAATATCCCACTTGTCACTTGTATATAATAGTTATACAATGCTTTCTCGTGACACACCATGGAATATCTCACTTGTCACTTGTATATAAGAGTGATACAATGCTTTCTCGTGACACACCATGGAATATCCCACTTGTCACTTGAATATAATAGTGATACAATGCTTTCTCGTGACACACCATGGAATATCCCACTTGTCACTTGTATATAATAGTGATACAATGCTTTCTCGTGACACACCATGGAATATC